TGATTATCAAAAAATTAAAAATTCGCATTTAGTAAATTATCACCATTATATCTTTAGAAATTGAATGATGACGATGTTTGTTTTGAAAAAAATATTGCGCAAAAGAAATTACATTGTACGAAAGACTAACATTGGAAGATAGTGTTATCGCTTTGTATATGTCCATATGTTGCTCAACTAACCTGAAAACTTTCTTCATAATTGTAGTTATGTTTAATTTTTATGTGGATCATTATTCAACTTCGACAGATTTGAGGACCAACAACCATAAATCCAGGTTTGTTTGATTTTCTTTTAAACCGTAATGAGTATACTGAGAAACGCAAAATAAGTATACAAAGTAGGAGAGATCCGACACACCTTCCAGTTTTCCAGTTGGCACGTTTGAAGTATAAATATACCTTTATTACCAATTAATACAAGGTATAACCGCTATAGAATGGCCTTCGTTGACTCTGAAGGGATATGTTTTTGGGGGTTTCGAGGAAAGTTCAGTTTCTAAGAACGCTACCTGGTTATAAATATTTGTTTTCAATATTTTGCTATAATTAATATATTATTAGAAATTCGTGTAATCACCAGAGAAACTATCTATTTTGAAACATTTCTATCCCGACTTGTTTAGGTGTGGATAAGTTTATAATAAAACATCACGTCCAAAAATATCGCAAACAGTGAGAATACCTAACTGACGAAACAATGCCTTATAATTATTATAAGTAAGAATATAAAAACAGTATATTTAATTAGTTAAACTCATTAGTAGGTTGATTTAGTTCTGATCTATTTAGGTAGCTTGCTTTGATCAGAATAATCTTCATTAGTTCTGTAAGTAAACAAATAATAAAAATTAAATTTAAGTTTTATCAACTTGCTAAAGGCGAGTAACTAATATTGTTGAAATTAAATGGTCAAAGATTGGAATTTGTGTTTCAGTAAAATTGAAACATGCATACAAAATGTTAAGGCTTCGGTAAAAAAAAAGTATAGCATACGTAAGATCAAATGATGAGAAATATATTTCAAAAAAGTAAAAAGTATTTAATTGGTGTTCACAGTTATAATGATTTTCATGTCGAAATTGTTAAAAGAAAAATACAAACTGTGAAAAGATAAAAATCACTTGAAATGATGTATTTATTACACATTGGAATAATATGGATTATACAAAAGTAAAACTCAAAACATCTTTTGTGTTCATAACAATGAAAATTACTGGAATATTTAATACTACTTCATCAGATGAAATTAATATAGACTAGCTGGAGTACCCGTCCCCTGGACGGAAGTTATGTAAATTCATGATTAATGAAATCTTATCTCAGGACATGAAAAGTTGCTTCCCTTATATGTAATTGCAAAAAAACAAAACAAAAAAACCGCCCATAAAAACTGAAAAACAGAAAATTTGAAACCGCAAGTTTGCTTGTATCTCGGCATGGACCCAACAAACCTTCATGCCAAATTTGGCGAAGATCCATCAACAGGGGAGAAGTTGTGGTAAAATAACGCCCATAAAAACCGCAAAATGTAAAATGCAAAACTGAAAACTTTATGTATCTTCTCATAGACCCAATGAATCTCTCTACCAAATTTGGTGAAGATCCATCAACAGGGGAGAAGTTGTGGTAAAATAACGCCCATAAAAACCGCAAAACGTAAAATGCAAAACTGAAAACTTTATGTATCTTCTCATAGACCCAATGAATCTCTCTACCAAATTTGGTGAAGATCCATCCTAACCCCACGATGTAGTTACATGGATATACAACAATTTGTTTGTTTGTTGTTGATCTGCCCACCACAGGTACTGAAACCCGGTTTCTAGTGTTGTAAGTCCGCAGACATGCCGCTGTGTCACTGGGAGGCGACAGACAACAGACAGTACTATTATATTTATATAGTTTTAAACAGGTCATGCAGGTGTAAAATATTTCACATATGGTTGCTAAGCTCATATTCAACTTTTATTTTTGACAGCTCAGTTATAGAATCTCAGGATGTTTGCTGTAACACCTAGTCTGCCTAAATTTTGGCCTTTACTTTCTGACAGGATGGGTATATTATATCAAAATGTTTTGGAGTCTCAATGGAGTCTCGTTACAATCCATGTGGCCACGCCCATCACGGTCATGCTCTATATGATGATTGTGCACCTTAACAAGACTGTTGAAATGGACACTGTAAAACCAACATTCTTGCAAACTAGTTGGATTATGGAAAGGCAACAGAGAAGAGTGGTGTGCTTTCATTGATAGTCTGTATGAGTTATATAATACATTGATAGTCTGTATAAGTTCTATAATACATTGATAGTCTGTATAAGTTCTATAATACACTGATAGTTTTGTGTATGATAATCCCATTTAAGTTCTGTAACTGATACACTGATAGTCCTGCAAACATTTTCTGACTAATTCAGCAAAAGGTCTGAATTGTTATCAAGCAGATAGAATAGCAGTCTGTTCATGTAACCCGGGTAAC